AGGATCTTTCTTTGGAGTGACTTTGAGTCTCTTACCACAGCTCATAAAGGTCTAGTCCCTGTACCTGTCCAGCTAGGAGTGTCCTTGGAAATGTCCCTTAGCCCTGTGCGGTGCAAGCCTCCGGTCACCTCTGAAGACTTTCCATGAACACTCCACCAGCTCAGGCTCTCTTCTTTAAGGGAACTCACAGATGGGTGCTCCTGCTTGTCCTGTAAGCCGTCCTACCTACTGTACCATCTCCTTAGCTCTGAGGAGGTTAGGGAACGAAGACACTATTTATGCTATCACCTGAAGAAAAAGCAGCTAGTACTCAGGAAAAGGATAGCAAGCTGCTAAGTTAAATGTGTGTCTTGTGTGTTCAGGAAGAAGCAAGAAAGCTGTAGGGCTGGAGGCCGAACGATAAGGTGAAACCTTGCGGGGGGGGGGGGGGGGGGGGAGCGGATTTGGGTGCCATTCGGCTTGTGAACTTGTGAAGGGAAGGCATGACGAGGCACTCCCCCAAAGTCTGGGTCTTGAACCTGCAGGGGAGTTAGATGATAACTAAGTGAAAGTGTAAATTATAAAGCAAGCAGGAAAGGTTGTAATGGAAAATATGTGTGTTAGCTTCCTGCCACCATAAAGAATATCTGAGACAATGAACTTATCTAGAGAAAAGATTGTTTTGGCTCGCAGCCTTGAAAGTTCCAGTCTGTAATGCTTGGCCCTGCTTTTTTGGCATGTGGTGGGGGAAAAAAAAACTCTACTTACTGATAGCCAAGAACATGGAAATTACCTTCACAGGACCCTCCAATGATGAAGAGACCCCGTCACTAGGCCTCACCTGCTGAAAGTTCCCCTTTCTCCTCCAGTGGTGTCACTCTTGGGCTGAGCCTTTAACACGTGGATCATGAGACACATTCGAAACCCAGACTACAGCAGCATGAACTCAGCATGCATGGCATTAACAGTGTAGGAGTCGTCTAAAAGAGAAATCAGGAGGATGGATCTTAGTGTGTGCCTAGCCGTGCCTTCTCCCTCTCCTGGGAGCTGGAAGGAAGGTCCGGTGTGAGGACCAGACGGTAGCAGTTACATCCCCTGTCCCTTGGTGGTTTGCTGTGGATTTTCTAAGGTGTTATATATTCATCTTCAGACTCTGTATGAAGTAAAATTGCTAAAGCGAGAAGAAAATATATCATAAAGAGACATCTATAACATCATTTGTGTGTTGAATCCCCGTCTTTTTCTCCAGAGAGTAAGGGCTCGGTGACTGCCTCCACCCCATATATAGTGAATTAATATTGCAAGTCAAAGTTGTTCTTTATTTTTAATTTTAATTGAGCTGTGCATTTTCTCCAGTCCACTTCCTTCCCCACTTCTCTTTTTCCACTCTTTGCCCCTACCCCCGACACTCCCAATTTACTCAGGGATCTTGTGTTTTTTCTTCCTTTCTAGGTGGGTCCATGTAGGTCTCTCTTAGAATCTCCTTTGTTGTCTAGGTTCTCTGGAGTTATGGATTGTAGGCTGGTTTTTCTTTGCTTTATGTTTTAAAGCCACTTATGAGTGAGTACATATTTTATTTGTCTTTCTGGGAATGGATAATCTCACTCAGTATGGTTTTTTTCTAGTTCCGTACATTTGCTGCAAATTTCAAGATGTGTATGAATGAACCACATTTTCCTTATCCATTCTTCGGTTGAGGGTCATCTAGGTTCTTACTGGCTATATCATGGGACTAGGGAGAGAACAAGCATGAAGATTTATGTTCAGTCTCCAGCACTCACGTAAAGAGCATGGTGCACTGGAGCAATCTGTACCTCTGATATTAGCAACTTCACAGGTGGATCCCATGGAGTTAGTTCATTGGCAGGCCCGCCTAGCTAAATGGGTAGGCTTCAGGTTCCTTGAATGGTCCTGTCTCAGGAAACAAGAAGGAAGGACAACAAGGAAGGTGCCTGGTGTCTATCTTGTCTCACCATGATCATGTACACTCAAACACATCCATAGAAATGTGTATAACACACACACACACACACACACTCACTCAGATTATCATAAAGACCTAATTTCAGTCCTAAAATTACCCAGAAGCCTTTAAAACATCCTGTTCTGAGAACTCTATGTATTGCTTTGAATTGATTTCCCCTCTTCTTTTTTGTTACCTGGCTGTTTTTGTATAGCCACCCTTTTTGAACTTACAAATTTATTTGTTTAGAATTTGATTACTGACAAGGATTAAGTGTTCTACCAGCTGAACTATGTGATTCTTAGCCAAGGTTTGGTAAGATGTGATATTGTAGTAAGATCTGAAGGGGAAGAAAAGAACAAAAACAGAAACATGGTCCATTGTTGGTTCTGCCAAATTGGTTTAAGAAGTCAAGACTTTGGTAGTGTTTTGTGCAGGGTTTTTGACTGTTTTTTTTCTTTTAAAACTTTTGAAGATTTCTCTATTTCATGTGTCTGAGTGTGTTGTGTGCACGTGTGCATGTGTACCACAGGCATGTTTGGTTCTCATGAAGGTCAGAAGGGGGTGTCCTGATCCCCTGGAACTGGAGTTCCCAGTGCTGGGAACCATCATGTGGGTGCTGGTGACCAAACCAGCGTCCTTTGCACAAACAACAAAATCTCTTACCCACTGAGCCATCTCTCCAGCCCCTGCAAGAGTTGCTTCTCGATTTTGAGCTGAAACATTTTACTCTGAACTTCTGAGAATAGTCTTTTACCCAGAATGGGATGCACACAGTGTTTCTTTGTAACTTTTAGATGAAAGACAGTGTGTCAATGCCAAAAGGCCACGGAGGCTGCCATGTTGTTTTAAACTCCTAAAACGTTTTTCTTTCCTGTTTTTCTTTTTCTTTTTTTTTTTTTTTAAGTGGAAGTGAGCCCTCTTTCCATTCTTTGCTGCATGGAAGCTATTACAAGCCTCTTTCAGCAAGCCTGGGAGGAGATGAGTATTACAGAGTTTCATTTATCTTTTTATTTTTCTTAGGAGCTTACATTTTAAATCCTGTGTAGGCTTACATCAGATTCAAGAGTTAGACTGCCGGGTTTGGGCCATTGTTTTAAACGTCCCCCACTTGATGTGTTTGGTGCTCTGAGACTATCCATTATGTGTCGTTGTGTGGCTTTCGTTCATCGTGACTGATGCCCTTGACTTCGGAGTATAAGTAGAAAGATCGAGACAGGTGGCAAGGATTGATTAGCAATCTTTCTTCTAACAGAAACAATAAACTCACTAGATAAATCACTAGCTCAAAAGCCTGAAAAATACATGCTGAAAGAAGTGTACGTGTGTGTGTGTATGCACATGCATATGTGTGTTTATGAGTATGTATGTGTATAATAGTGATTGTGTTTCTCTAGAAGCACTTAAAGATTCTATCTGGTCTTTCTTTACTACCTATGAATTTTTATGGAAAAATAGGCTTCCGGCTTATGCACTGAAAAAAAAATGGTTTCTTGCCATCTCTTCAAGTAGATTTTTCAAGTAAAAAGAAATAGGCCAATATTATTGACAATAGATAAACAATATGCATATCATAATTGCTACAGGAACATTTACCTTTTCCTGCTTTTCTGGTTCCAGAAATCAGTCAGGGTGGGGATTTTAGTACAAATCAAGGCCACAAAGAAAGGAGAGCAGCAGTCACAAGTAAAGGAAACTATCCATGACAGAGCGGGCAGAAAAGCCGGCAATCCCTTCCTCAGCAAGGGGTCATGGCAGAAGGAAAAGGAGGGGAATTTCTGGGTTCCTGACAACGTTGGCAGTAACCGCTTGTATGGAGACAATTCTTGTGTTGTGTGTAGACAGTTATTGACCAAAGCGGATGGAATTGTATATAGCCCAGGGGTGCTTGGGTCTGATCAAAGAATGGAGCAATGGAATTGGCTTAGCTTGCCGGAGAATGAGATCATAGTTGACATAACGCTGGACAAACAGGACTTGGAGGGTACATCTGCAATTGAGCTTATCCTTTTCTCAGCCCTCACTGCCTGCTCAAACCACTCTGCAGCTGAGCCTTCTTTTCCCAGACAAAGTCTGAGACACATTTGTTGGTTTCTAAGGCTTTTTTGGGAATTTAAACAAAATCAAATACCCCTGAACTTTTCAATGGCTTATACCTATATACACATGGCATTAGTTTGTTGGTTGCGTTGTCTGATCTAGTCTAGTCTAATGTATCATAGCTCATTCATTCCGAGGTGAAGTCTCTCCCACTTGCTGTTCACCAGTGTAGTAAGAGCCGTGGAGCGCCAATCCCTCCACGAGTCTGTCTTCCCTATACTCTCCAAACACCTCTGGCTTCTTCATCGTGGATGAAAAGCAGAGGGCAGAGAAGGCAGGAGGACCTTCAGAACGAACATGGGTTTGCTCTCATGGATAGTGAGCCTGACTTTCTTTGTGGGCACCTTCATGAGGTCTCCGGAGAGTTCCCCATCCTCTTTCCCTGTGTCTCTTTTCCGTGCCGGCTCCAACACGGAAGTGGAAAGAGATTCTCCTCTTAGCGCGATCATAGTGATGTGCCACTCTCCGTGGCGGTTGTTTTGGCTGAGATTTGGGGCGCACCGACTTTGCAGATGAGGGGTTCCAACAGGGAAATGCTCCTCTGGTACTTACCAGGGAAGTGATCACAGGGGATACATGCGAAGGTACAAATGCTGTGTGGACTGCGGCTGAAGTCTTGTAAGTGGACACAGTTGCCTGGGAAGAGACTTGCTGAGCCTCCCGGACGTAGTTAAGAGGCACTGGAGGAAAAAAGTGCTGGCTACAGGACATACCAGCGTTTGCTAGGGAGCCCTCCCGGAGTTGTGCCCCACAGTGTGTGTATAACTTGTGCATTTGTTTGCCCAGAGTCCGGATCTTTGAATATATCTCGCTATCTACACTCTACCACAGATGTCAGACTTCATATATTTACCTTAATTGGATGTGGGGCCCTTTACTGGTTGATGTTTTTAAAATTGCTGTGAGTTTTCCTCTGTACCTTTTAGTTCTCTGACAAATGTAACTCTTCTTTTTCCAGTTGTATACGAACACAGATCAAGACTAGAGAAATCTTTGCAAAAGGAGAGGCTTGAGCACAAGAAAGCAAAGGAAGGTAAGACAGCCCGAGCTCGTGGTCTTCTGCTTCCTTTTACTCTTCTTTGATGTATCATTACTTGACCTGGGATGCTTTTTGCTTTTGTAATTTTTTTTTTTCTCCTAAGTCGCTTCTAAAATGAGCCCAAAGTCAGGGCTATAGGTGGGCAGAGAAAGAGCTGTCAATGCTTGGCATGATGCCGACATTTTATACAGGCTCAGCGATGGGGAAGTAGCCTTTCCTTCTCCTTTGGGAACTCAGGTCAGATAGTAGGTGGAGGATGTGCGAGCTTTATCATCAGGTCGTGACTCAGGTCGCCACTTCCTCCCGAACCGCAGAGAAGCCTGCGCATTACAGGCGCAAGAGCGGATTTAGCTTTCATTCTGCTTCTGCAGCCTTCATCACAGTCGTAGGTCGGCTCCCAAATTATTTCCAAAATAATACATGACTTCCCTTCTGGAGAATATAGCTGTATTTCAAATGCAGCAAACCTCTGTCCACGGTTGGGGTTTGGGAAAACATGCATGGTTTAGAACATGCCACTTTTCATAAGCCCCGTCTTGCATATCTGTAGCGTGTGAGTTGAAACACTACCTGGAATCTTTTGAATGAAGCCGCTGTTATTACGATTTCATGAAAATTTCTCAGTCAGAAATGAGCAGGTGACCCTGGCAGTGCTGCTGACTGTCATCAGGGCTTCTTAGAAAGGCATGCACTCCAGCGTCTAGCTGCCGGAAGCTGTCTGCACTCTTATTTTTTATTTATTCACATTTTGTGATGAATCTTGGAATTTGAGCTCTTGTCTCCCTTGGTGGAATAGAAGGTTATGTTTAGTGATGGGTGCTGGATTCTGTGCAGTACTCTCTTGGGTTGAACAGACTTGAGAATTCTGAGAAACTCTTGAAGAGTTATCTGTACGGAGTGATTTTATAGTGCCATCTAGTGGATAATAAAGTTTTCAGAGCATGGAAGGTGACTTGTCTTTTTTCAGTCCCTGAAGGGAGTAGTGTGCCCTTTGGTGGATAGCAATAAATCACCATGTCTCCAAATGCACCCCCTGCCTCTCAGTTTTGAGGGAAGCTTTTCAGAGATATTGTAAGTGCGCCATTAGCCACTTGATTAAAACACGGATTCTGGGGACGCAGGATTTACAGATAGAAGGGGATGCGGAAGACAGCACACTTTGTCATCTGTTTTCCAAAGCTTTGAGAAGCAAGATGAAATACATAAATCACCAAATAGACTGATTCGAACTGAAAACGTTTTTGCAAGTCTGAGTAAAGTGCAGCTTTTTTTCTCTGAGATGTCGGAAAGTTTTAAAATGGATTGACTTACCACTTTCTCTTTCTGCATTTTTTTTTATCTTTGCTAGATTTCCTTGTTTATAAGTTAGAAGCACAAGAAACACTGAACAAAGGAAGGGTAAGGCTTTTGCTCTGTTGTGGTTTTTAATTTGTTTTTATGAACCTTGAGAGGGACAAAAATATTACTGTGAAAAACTGTACTCTTATCAGTCACTGGCATTGTATGTTGGACATGCATTTCTGTTCCAAAAAAAAAAAAATTCCAAGAGGAAAACATGAAGCATTGTTCATTTAAAACTTACCTTGCCCTGCATCTGGACACACTGATGGTCATTAGCGATGAACTGAGATCTCCTCACCGTGCTTATATATGAAGTGAAGACTTTATTTGGTTGCTTGGTTTGGTTCTGGACTTTTGAGATGGGTCATCTCATCCCAAGAAGCCCTTGAATCATTGTGTAGCAAAGAATGGCTTTGGCCTCCTGCTACTCCTGCCCATGCTGCCTTAGTGCTAGAATGACCAGCATGTGCTACTGTGTTTGGCCAGCAAGGAGGTCATTTTTTTTATTCGCCCCTTTATTTGTTTGTGGTGTCTCTTCCCTATGACATGTAAGACTTCTTCTTGCCTTATACAAATGCTATCAAACAGGAGATCTGCCTTAGAGCTGGCATTTGCAAGTATCTGAAGAATGAATTATGGACGGAATGAGTGATGCTGACATTTAAAAATATTTTAACATTAAAATTGACTGGAGAAAAGCCAGTCTATCTCTTACACCAGGAAAATGTGTGAGTGTTAGTTGAATAAAACATTAGTGTTTAGGGATTTCAAAATGGAGAAAAGTCAGTTCTTGGAATTGCCTGAGAGAGTCTTTCAGCTTTCAACGCTTACTTGCTTTGAGAAGCTCCAGTCAGACCTGTGTGCACACGATTGTGTATTTTGTATTGTAATTTCTTTATAAACTAAAAAGAAAAGAAAAGGGGAGGACGGGGGATGAGACGATAAAGCATAAATGTCGCTTATTTTAGGAGCTATGGAAAGAAAACATGGGCACGCACCTGCATGGCGACGGAGCACAGCAGGGGTGTTGCTGGGCAAAGATAAACCAGCCTTGGGAACGAAGGGGGCATGTTCCAGGTGTCTTCAGTGTAGTGATTGGGAGTGAAAGCCTAGGATGTTGGAACTGTGAGGCCTGTGTGAATGGCTGCTCACTTAGACTGCAGGGATGGTCAAGAAGATGGGAAGAGAAGGCAGAGTTCAACCAACACCAACCTGGGCTCCAGCCCATTCCTCCCTCCGCTGCTGTATGTAGTACTTGCTCCAGTTCTGGTTTTAGAAGCCCCAGCCATATCCCCTCGTGGGAAATGAAGATTACATGAATGCCCACTGAAGTGGAGGGAAGAAAAGTCCTTCTCTTCCTCCCTCAAGACAGGCTGAGTTTGTGAGGTCTGCTCTCAATTGGTCTGTCCTCCGCCCCTCCCACCTGTGCGAAGCTAGGTCTTAGCTATATACAGTGGCTTTCAGAAGTTCATTGTGTGTCTGGGCCTCTAGGCTTCTTTAGATTATGAGAAACAGAACCAAATTATTTCTAAGATCCCTGTCAACTTACCATTGTATGATTCCATCCCCGTTCTTTACATTAACAAACTCTAACAAACCCAGGAGAAAATTGGAACCTTGTTTCTGCTGCTAAACAAAGCAATAGGAGGTCTTAGGGAGTGGCCCAATGGTTGGTGCTGGCCAAGTGCATGCCAGGCCCCGAGTTCCATCTTCAATACGGCTAAACAAATAAATAAATAAATGAGATGGCTCTAAAGATAAACTGTCTCTATTGAAGAATTTGTGTTAGCTTACAAAGCAGAACTGAGAATCTTTTATTAAGCAAGTGAAGCTGTCCTCAGCAAAAGGCCCAGATCAGCTATCTTTTGTTGATTTGATTTTCTTTTATTTACAGCAAGATTCCAATAGCAGATACAGTGCATTGAATGTCCAGCATCAGATGCTGAAAGTAAGTAACTTAAAATGTCTTATACGAACGAAGAAAGGCGTAGGCAATGTTTGAACTAATCAACTCTATATAATGTAAAAACGGAGAAGGTTTGTAGAATGTTGGCCTAGCAAATGTAGTCATAGTTGTCAAAAATTTTTCTATAGTTTCAGTGCCTCAGCGTGATTTTTTTAGTTTTTATATAATAATTAGACTCTCTGGTTATCTACTTTTTAAATGATCTCTTTGGTATCTTTAAAATTCTTTGCTTCGTCTCTCATGGTGGTTTTCCTTTTATCTTAGACAGCCTGGAATGTGTAGAGCTCAAAAGGTTCCTCTGTGTTGCTAATGTTCAATTAATGTACTTTTATGTACCCCAAGAACACAATTTATTAATTAAGCATCTTCCTTCCTTTGGCCTGGAGTAAAATTCACTATCACATGTCAGGAAGACCAAAACCACAGATAGGAGAGCAAGAGAATTATTGATTCCATCGAGCTGAGAGAGAGGAGTAGCAGGGCCTGCAGTACCATGCACAAACCCACTGTGTGCGCATATCAGCCCCGTGTGTTAGCATGCAGCATCACGTGCAAACCCACTGTGTGTACACATCAGCCCCGTGTGTTAGCATGCAGCATCATGTGCAAACCCACTGTGTGCCCTCATCAGCCCCGTGTGTTAGCATGCAGCACCATGTGCAAACCCACTATGTGCCCACATCAGCCCCGTGTGTTAGCATGCAGCACTATGTGCAAACCCACTGTGTGCACACATCAGCCCCATGTGTTAGCATGCAGCACTATGTGAAAACCCACTGTGTGCTCCCACTTCATTGACCCTCACCCTATGTGTTAGCTTAGTGTTTCCTATGCTTCCACATCAGCAAAGAGCACACTTCCTATTGAAACCAGGATCACTCCCATCCTCAGGAGTGCAGTACATGACATAAAGCAGGGCATCCGTCCACATAACCCTTTGGAGAATGTAGGATTTAAATAACTTGTGACAGCAGTGCAGAATTATAATATAAAATCAAATAAGTAAAAGTTAATTCTAGAAACAATACGTTACTTTCCTCGAAGGGAAGATAGTCCCCTTTCCCTCTCCATCTCCTCTACACCCACTGCTCTTTCAAACTAGATTACTAGGACGCTGAAAATCAAAGATATGCTGAATAGAGTGGTCCTCTGGGGTCAAAGCCCTGCCTTTTTGTATTTCTACAATATCTAGAAGAGAATTGCGTGCATAGTGAACATATTCAGACTTTCTCTTGCCATTATGTCTTTGGCATTGCCGTCAATAGTATTTATAGTGAATTGGTTAGCATGAGCAACCTAGAAATGATTGGAAACATGGTAGTGTTATATGTACAAACACTATACCATAAAGAGTCGTGAGCCTTTTCAGATTTGGGTAATTTAACATGGAGCTAGCTGCCGCGAATCTCCCCATAAATACTGTGGAGTTTTGATCTTGCTTGCTAAGTAGAGAAAATAAACCAATTGACTAAGGTTAAGTTTATCATTAGCTTTACCTTGTTTCTACGGTGATTTGAATCCAGGGAATACCCTAAGAATCCACCATTTCCCTCTCTTAAACTACCTTCTCACTCTTATTTATGTTTAAAACCAAGGGGAGATTTGTATTTTCCCATGGTCTCAGTTGAAGAGTAAAGGAAATGAAAAGGACTTACACAAAAACCTTACCTAAGCTCACTCCTTCGTTCACCCTCACCTTCTGATGAAAGAAAGGCCACGCCGCCGAGAAATAGACTCTTGCGTGATTCAGGGAACGTGTCTTTGCTCAAGCGTTCATCTTGCAGAGCCAGCATGAGGAGCTGAAGAAGCAGCACAGTGATTTGGAAGAGGAACACCGTAGGCAAGGGGAAGACTTCAGCAGAACATTCAATGACCACAAGCAGAGATACCTGCAGCTTCAGCAAGAAAAGGAACAAGAACTTTCTAAACTGAAAGGTATTTGATAGGGCTAGAGGTGTCTTTGTGCACCATGTCAACGAGCACACACGGGTGCTATACACAGGCGCTGCAAGGTCTGTATATTATGCATTGCAGTTAGCTTTAGAAGGCACACTGACTGGTAGCCTCCTTATACATAACCCTTTGGTTTTTTGTTGTTTTTTGTTTTGTTTTGTTTTAGTTTTAGTTTTATGGTGTTTTGCCTGCATCTATGGCTGACACCGTGAGCATGCATCATGCTTCTGGGCATCCTAGAGGGGCATTAGATACCCCAGAAGTGGAGTGGAGTTACAGATGGTTGTGAGCTGCTCTATAGGTGCTGGCTGGGAATTGACCCAGGATCCTCTGGAAGTGCAGTAAGTGCTCTCAAACTCTGAACCATCTCTCCATCCTCTTTCTCATCATTTTTAAAGCAAGATGTATATATAGTAAATTTTTAATAGGACATTTATAAGAAATAAGAGCTACAGAAAACATGAAGATACATATATGTGATTCTAACTACTAAGGTATTTCAGCCTCAGAACCTTACACTCAGGACAGAAGTGGAAAGGCAGAAGCCTCAGGGAGCTGGTCCTCAGTAAGAAAAGACATTACACACACACACACACACACACACACACACACACACACACACCACTAGCAGAGATAGAAAGCAAACAAACCACTTCAAGAATCAACTTCTGGAAGAAGTGTCTTGAAGAGATATGAGAGAACTGAGTATAGAAAGGATCTGACATTTTGTTGGACACTTTGCACATTTGTGCTTATGTTTGATTGTAATAATTGGTGTTAATTGTCAACTTTAATCTAAAATCACCTAGGAAGATCTCAGTGAGGTAATTTCCTGATCAGGTTGGCCTCTGATGGTTTTTCTTACTTGGATTAGTTGGTTACTTACATGGTTAGTAGACATGACTCTGGGTAAAAAGACTTAGGCAATAGTGTTAAAGCATTCAGTGACCGATGAAGGGCAGCAGTGGCTGGGGGCCACAAGTGCAGGCAATCTTGGGTAGTTTAAGGTGAGACAAGGAGAGTATCTAAACCTCCCCTTCTCTCTCCCAAGGAAGGCTGACAGTTTGGAAACTTTGGTAATTGCTCCCGATTCTTGTAAATAACTGATAAGACATCTCTCTGATGTATTGGGACCAGGTAAAATTTTCTGGTGGAAAGCTCTACTTAATTCTCATCCTAGACCTGGAGGCAGGCAGCCAGGTGTCTTGTTTACTTAACGTAAGAAGAACTGGAGGCTGTTGAGCAAAACTTACTGGCAGGAGCCCAGTGAAAGCATGCAAGCTTGCAAACTAAAACTGAGAGCCAGCTAGTCAAGTTTAGGTATTTCAAGTGTTAAAAGCCCCATGTAGCCTGCAGTCTTTGGTGATAGCCAGTGGTGTCCTGTTTTAATTTCTGGGAAAATCCACTATGACATGAAGGCAGGATCCTACTTTGTTTTTATTTTTTTCCCCCAAATGTAGGCATAAATTCTGTGCCCAGGAGTCTGGTGGGGGCAGTAAGAAAGTAAAACTGTTCCCAGCACTTGGGAGGCAGAGGCAGGCGGATCTCTGTGAGTTCGAGACCAGCCTGGTCTACAAGAGCTAGTTCCAGGACAGGCTCCAAAACCACAGAGAAACCCTGTCTCGAAAAAAAAAAAAACTGTCCCAGGTGGGGCGAGAGAAGGGGACTGAAACTCTCCTTTGATGCTTAGCACACCCTATAGAGATGGAGCCCTCTGCAGAGGTATCCCTTTATGAGGACAGTTTGCCTGGCGGGATCCAGATTTATTTAAGACTTGTCATCCTGACTCATGGATTAATTGTGTCCCCTTTCATTCTCACAGCCGTTGCTCCTTCCAAAATAAGTTATATCATCACCCTGCCAGCATTCCCTTGTGATATTTATATATTGCCATGCAACCATTGGCCTAATATTGCCTGATATTGTTAGATCTTTATAAATGCTGTTGAGTCCTCAAATGTGGAAAAGACTATATAGGCAAATTTTTTCTAAAAAAACCACCAAGTTTGTACTTTTGAATAGTACTTAACTTGTAAAACACATGCAATGGTAGAATTTCTAGATAGAATTTGCGAGGGGAAGGTGGTAACCAAATAGGGCTTGGAGGGAAGGTTTTAGAACCTCATTCAGACTCCATGCTCTCACATTTTAGCTCTGAGAAGACCTACTCAGAGTCAAATTTAGATTAACCAAGAACTCGATGGTAGGAGTAAGAGAAATTATAGGTTATCGTCAGTTAGGTGGGTTTCTGTTGTCTCTAATTGAAGTGCCCTGTGAGAATTATTCATGCTGTGAGAAACGAAGCCCTGCTCTCTTCTTGACTACTTTTCCTTTGTGAAGATTCTCACGTCAGAGAGCACCTGCCCTTTAATTTTAGTCCCAAGGGATCATTTATCAACAGAAATTTTTCATTGTCAGCACCTGTGTGATTACAATTGTTGCTCTCCTTTGTAGTGCATAGCCTGTTTCCAGAGGCTTCAGCCAATGACACAGGCTATTTTGCAGTGAGCCTTCAAACCCAGGTGGTGGTGATTATATCAGATATGATATAATCTTTTCTTGATTTGGAATATTTTATTGTTAAAGGTCAAAACCTAGTTTTACAAAAGTTTTCAGGTTTCAAATGATGGCATAAAAAATAAGAGAATTGCCAGGATTTATGTATGGTTGTTCTTGTTATAAAACAGAAACTGTCTATAATCTGAGAGAAGAGAATAAACAACTAAGAAAAGCGCACCAAGACATTCACACGCAGCTTCAGGATGTCAAGGTAAGGTGCAACCAGATATCTGGCTCTGGGGAATTTATCTCTTTTATTTTGCAGAATGGCTTCAAAAATCATTCCAGGAAGCTGGGAAGATGACACGGAGATTATGAGTGCTTGCTGCTCTGGCAGAGGAATCAAGTTAGGCTCCCAGTACCATGGCTCATGACCACCAATGTCTCCAGCTCCAGTGCATCTGATGTCCTCATCTGTCCTCTGTGGACACGGCACACACAGGCATACATAGTGACCAGCACCAGCACCAGCACACACACACACACACAGGCATACATAGTGACCAGCACCAGCACCAGCACATACACACACACACAGGCATACATAGTGACCAGCACCAGCACCACCACACACACATACACACAGGCATACATAGTGACCACCACACACACACACGCACACACACACACACACACACACACACACACATCAATAACTAAAAATAAGCTTTTTATTTTTATTAATTCATTCCCTAATTGATCTGCTTTGCAGACCTGGATTACTGTCATGGTCATTGCTTACCTGGAGTATACTTGGTACTTTTGCCACCTCAACATCATGAACTCAAGGTGACCCAGGGCATCTGAAGATTTGTATCAATACTGAACTCGTTCTTTAGTTGGACGATTGCGCTTTAAGATAGTTTTAATTTACCAAAGCTGACCACTGATGAAAGGTTTATTTGGGTAGCCCTTTTGGTAGATTTTAGACTACCTCATCAATCGCTCCTCCCTCCAGGAATTGTTAAACAACAAGCAAGTAACATTTGGGTGGCCACGCCAAAGAGTTTTGTTTTGCGACTTTAACTTAGCTCAACGTGTAAACTTCTTTTCTGTGTAGCAACAGCATAAGAATTTACTCTCCGAGCATGAACGGCTTGTAGTGACTCTGGAAGACCACAAGAGTGCACTAGCTGCTGCACAGGTTAGGAAAGAAGCAGCCTTTGTTGGGTCCTTTTCCGGTCTGCCTACTGTTTCTCAATTCCTTTATGCATGGAGTTTTTCACCAGGGTCTTCAGGGAGTTCCTTCTGACGACAGTCCTAATGGCGGGGACAATGCATGCTTTCCAGAGTCACCGAGGGGACTACTAGATAAACTTTGCATTGCTTTTTGTTCATGACTTTACTATTGCCTCTACTATGTCCTACATGAAAGGTTCTGATATTTAACTCACAGTGTAGCCCGTGTGTCTGGCCCGTGTCACCTCTCTGGCCCTGTATTATCTGTTAGTAAAGGGTATAGAAGGTTGTAGGAGGCTGACTACATAAATAAATCATTCCCAGACCGATTCTTTGCTCCTTCCCTTATTGCCAGTATCCTAGCGTATATGTATGTACTCCTTTTGGGCTAAGGCTTAGATAGGACTGTCCGTACGACAGAGAAGCCAAAGGGTCAGTGGAAAAAGAAAAGCAAGAATCCCCATCTCCGTTTGTTAGGGCATAAGCCAGACTCTTGTCTGTTAAATGAATAAACAATCAAATCCGAGCTATGGAGAGCTTGTTAAGGTGATAGCTAAGTGAGTGCTTCACAGCTTGAGAGCCGAGGAAGTAGGAGTGGCCTCATCACCTGCTTTTGCATCATAAAATTATTAAAAGCTATAATTAATACATTCGGCTCAGACTATTCCAAAGACTCGCTTTTTGCATTTAGGGAACTAATGGTTTTTTTTGTTGTTGTTGTTAAAATATAAGAAGAATTCATTTTGCTTTATAGTATTTTTAACTGCTTTTGTAACTTAACGTATTTTGATCATTGGATGATCAGCGTTATGCCTTATGAGTTGTTTGTTCGTCTTGTCTTGATATTTAGGTTGTAACTAGTGCACCCCTTAATTTCCTTAATTAGAGTCATATGTCTCTATTAATTTGAGCTGAGGTAACAAAATACTATTGACTGGTGGCTTAGACACAGCAGATTTGTCATAGTTCCAGAAGTCGGGAATCCAAGATTACAATGCCTCCATTCAGACTCTCAGGAGGACCCTCCTTTGGGTTGTTGGCTCCTGGCTTCTTGTATTGTCGCATGGTGCAGAGACGGAGAGTACTTCCTGGATTCCTCTGATGAAGGCACTAAGTTCATTTCTGAGGATTCTGCCCTCAGAACCTAACACCTGCTCATACACCAACCTTCCGTTGCCATCACAAAAGAGTTAAACTTCAAGTATGCACGTAGTTGGCAAATAACATCATATCACAACATTACCCAAATCTCCAGGGAGGGGAAATTTGTTATTTCTGGCGTCTACATCTCTTATGCAAAATCCTCTTTCAACATTCTTTCTTGACAGGTTGACTTTTAAATATAGTTAAAAATTTTATTTAATCTTCATAACCTAGGGCTTATGGATGGCTCAGTGGGTAAACGCTTGCCACACCAGGTGTGGAAGGAAAGTCCTGACACCCACAGATGTGCTGTGACATGCAGTCACACACACACGCACACACAGTGAGAAAGTTGGAGACAGAGGCTGAGACAGGGAGATACACATGTATCTCATACATACATAATAATAAAATTAACTTAAAAAATCTTCATAATTGAGTATACACCCTGTGTTCCTTTATAACTAAATAATCTAGTAAACTGAGATGGAAAGGAACTTATGTAGTTAGCCTGATTAAAAAATGCCCACCCCTCCAAAATTGTGATTCAAAGTCACAGCCTCGGTTGTGCTTATGAGACTTAGCAGCACAGGTGTGTGGCCTCTCCCCAGACCTTGTGAACTATAATTGCTTGCGCCTGGGGTGATGACTCAGCAGTTTGAGCAGAAATACTGCTCTTGCAGAGGCTTGCATCCAGAGGCTTCTACTACTCTAGCTCCGGGGATCCCATACCCTCTTCTGACCATGAGACGCTTGCATTCACTGTCTGTATATCTGAACAAAGACATACCTATGTAAATAATTTAAAAATAAAGTGTTCTTTAAAAGCATATTTTCTGGAGAGGAGACTACCGTCTCTACATGTTTTAATGCGATCCTTAATATGCGCTAACATCGAAACCACAACCAGACTACTTCATGGCTTGCACACCTTAGAGCAGTGGTTCTCAGCCTTCCTAATGCTGTAATACATTCCTAATGCTCTTAATACAGTCCTCATGTTGTGGTGACCTGCAACCACAGAATTATTTTCATTGCTACTTCATAAATTTACTTTTGCTGCTGTTATGAATCAGAATGTAAATATCTGATAGGAAGATGATCTTAGGTGACCCCTATGAAAGGGTTGTTCAAGCCCCAAAGGGGTCATGACCCACAGGTTGAGAACCACTGTCTTAGAGTAAAAGACAAAGAATGTATGGGATTGAATTTGATATATCCCTCCACAGAAAAGCATTACTATGGAAACGTCCTTTGTTTTTCCTTGTTTGGTCTCCAAAGATGATTCCTAAATGTTCTGATTGATTTCTGAGGTAAAGTCCACGGCCAGCTACATGCTACATTTTTACATAAATTATAAGAGAACACTCCTCTGGTACATATTTAGCCAGCTAACATCTTCATTGAAAACTAGAAGAGACAGAACAGAGCTGGGGAGCTGGCATAATCAGTATGGTGCCTGCCATGCAATCCTGAGGACCTGAGTTGGGTGAAAAGTTCAGATAAAAAGCATAAACAGAATTCCAGCTATGAGTTGTCTGGAGATGGGTGGATCCTTGAGCTCTTTGGAGCCGTCCTAACTGAAACAATAAGCTTCAGGTTTATGAGAAGCCTTTTCTTAAAAAGTAAATAAATAAAAATGACTAGCAATAGAGAAAAGTCACCTGATGTTGACCTTGGGCCACCACACGCACGTGCACACACATGTATGCATATTTGCACATACCCTGTATGCATCTCCTATATGTACACAACAACAACCACATGCACATTAAATAAAAAAAAAAGAGCTTCTCCTTAGGCATGAAAAAAAAACTGAGTTTTAAGTGTTTTATTTACACAGTAATTCTAGTTTTAGGATGAGGGTGGTAGTGGGCGTGAAATGGGTGTATGACATATGTACTGATATTTTTTAAAAGTTACCAGCTTATTTTCCACCTTTCCAGCCCCTTGTTAAAAAATAAAAAACAGTCACACACATCTGTATCTCCCATATCAGAATACACAGATGCATCTGTGTGGGAGCATTCCTGTCCTACACTAGTCCCTATTCACACATGGCCTTTGGCACTTTAAGCCAAAAATACATTCAAAATTGATGAAGAAAAAACAGCTTTATTTCCCCACAATGTCACCGTTCTCTGCTACCGCAGAGCACAGTCTAGAAAACAGTGTTGAAAATAAAGGACCTGATTTGAGCATAAATCAACTAAGGGGAAGAGGGCGAATATGGATGGATGGATAGATGATAGATAGATAATAGATAGATAGATAGATAGATAGATAGATAGATAGATAGATAGATGATAGATAGATGATAGATAGATAGATGATAGATAGATAGATGATAGATAGATAGATGATAGATAGATAGATGATAGATAGATAGATAGATGATAGATAGATAGATAGATAGATGATAGATAGATAGATAGATGATAGATAGATAGAATAGATAGAATAGATAGATGACAGATATTCCATTGAATGTTATAGCTCAGGCATACTTTTAATGGTCAATTTCAATGACCATGTAAGTCTTTAAGTAGAATTTAATATAATAAAACATTGATTGCATAGCTGTCCTTTATTGATGATGTTTGTAATAGAATGATTGACAAAGTTCTTCTTTTGACTCATGTAGCCTGGGAAACTAACATGTCTTGGATACTTTTTCAGTCTCTCGATTCTGATTCTAATTTGCATGTGCTCAGAAATGGTGCAGCATGGCCCAAGAGGAAGACCTGTAGTGCATGAGGGCAATCTGCACCTTTGCTAACAACCTTAGGTTTAATGACTTTCTAGTCATCCAGTGGACTGACAAGGCCATCTGATGAATTAATTAATGTATGGATGTTGTCTCCTCTCGTCAAATCGCATGATTTTCTCCCAACTGTGCTGTTTCTATGCAGACTCAAGTCGCAGAATATAAACAGCTGAAAGACACTCTCAACAGGATCCCGAGCTTGCGAAATCCTGAGCCCGCAGAGCAGAGGAACATTTCCATTTCCCAGGGGACTCCACAAGGTTACAACATGAGAGAGAAGCCAACAGGAGAGCTAAGAGAGGTGAGAGGTGTGACCTGGGTCCCTGGTCAGTGACGGTCCCTGTGGAGCTGTCCAGAGGAGAAATGCTGTCTGTACAGCCCTTCTTCCTACCCAGCAGATTCCTAGAAGTTCTTATACATCAGCATCCCTGGTGAGGTATGTTTCAACTCACTCTTCTCAGCCACACCTCCACTTTCCAACTCAGTTAAATTGAGGTTTGGCCTGGGGATTTGTCTTTCTAACCAATTCAGCTAGTCTGGGGAAAAAACACTGATAGTTAAAGCTGTAGCATTTGCTGGAAAAGACTTTTCTGGCTTGGCTTTCTGTAAATTGACATGTATTAAAGGGGCTCTGGGATCTGAATATTTGAGAGCAAGATGGTTTCCCTTTCCTTCGAGTAGGGGACAAGGTTTTGAATGGCATGAGGATACTATGTGACAGCCCACTTTGTTGTTAATGTGGATGCAATGGAACTTGCTACATTGCTGAGTCTATATAGAGCATGCCAAAATCATTTTAACCTGATCATGATTCACTTTTTTCTTGTTCTTTGTGAAAATCAAGACTTGCTTGAGTGTGTCTCAAAAGTGGAGCATCACCAGTGGGATCCTGGTGATCACTAATTCTTACAAGTTGCTTGTGTGAGCTGGCAAAATGGCTCAACAAGGAAAGTCCCTAGCTCTCAGGATTAATGACCTGAGTTGAATTCACAGGACCCAAATGGAGGAAGGAGAAGAATAGCTCTTCTTCTCTGGCCTCCACATGCCTATTGTTACGAGATTGCAGTAAAAGTTTTGAGAAGTCTTGTCTCCAATGGCCATCTTATGTCAATAATGACGTCACCACCAATGGAGCTGTCGGAGTTGCCATGTGAATGTTCTTAGCATCACCAGAACATTCCTTCACAAACAGGCTTGACGTCCTTGCACCCAGTTCTTTCTTGGGGCTTTTTATTCAGAAGTTTAAGACAGCATAATAGAATCCCATGGCTGTCCTTGGACCTTTTGCTCTGCTAGACTGACTTCCAGTTCACTGCGTTTACCATCCATGATTCAGAGTTTGGTTTGCTCCTGCTGTGAGTTGGAGATAGTAATTATCGGCCCCACCATTCCTCGTGGGGGCAGAGTGGGGATAAATGGCAGGTGTTTGAAAGCGTTAGAGCCCTTGAGAGAAATATTTTCTACAGGGCAGTTTTAGAGCAAACTTGCCAGAAGACTTTGTCAAGATGTATAACTGTCGAAGTTCCCAGATATTGAAGGAAGAGCTCTTCTCCCCACTTGATGATTTACAGGCTTGACTATTTCAAGAGTGATAATTATATCCCTGCTAGCTTCTAAGTAGAACTTCCCATTTCAAACTTCTCATGGTGTGGTCCCCTGGGCATTTAATTAAAAAAAGTTAATCTGACCAAGAAAGTAACTTTTTCTGATGAAGAAAAGGGGAAAGGAACTACAGATTTTCCTACCACTGTATTTATCTTTCTAACTAATGTAGATCAAAGCAAGGTTTGAAACTTACAGAAAACATGGATCTGACTCAACACATTGCAGAGAAGACATTTTCTCAAAAATTCTTTTTTTCTTGCTTTGGTTGTCTATATTGACAGTGTAAAATAAACACACAGACTGCCTTTGGTTTACAGAAGATGTAATAAGATACATTAATATTTTATTGGGGTTGGGAAAATTAACTCAGCAAAAATTCTTACCACATGTCTGAGCTCAATTCCTAGAGCCCATTTAAAAAGCCAAGCATTGGAGCCTATGCTTGGGATACTAGTGTGGGGGAAGCAGAGGCAGGAGGGTCCATGGCTCTCGTGGACCAGCCAGTCTAGTCTAATTGTGAGCTGGAAGATCCTAAGGAGACACCTTAGGATCAACATAGCGGATGGAGAGCTCCTAAGATGAACCTGAGGTTGACCTCAAGCTTCCGCAGGCTCTCCCAGCATAAACAGATCTGTGTTTGCACACTTACAAACACTGGCACAAACTGAAATGTTCTGACAAAGACTATTGTGTGTCTTGTTTAGCTGAAACTATTTTAAACCAGCATGGGTAGCTATTGGTAATGCAAGCCCTCTGATCACTCGTTAGTGGCGCTAAGGAGAAACCAACCTGCTCCTTCATCACCTGACTCTAAATCTTATCCTAGTAATTCCAAACACCTGTTAAGGAGAAAGTTGACCTTGAAGAAACTTTCATAAGCCATAAGCGTGAGGTTTGAGGGATTCTGGTTTGTATTGTTTTCCTTCTCGTTTGCTTCCTCTGTGTTCTAAAGGAAGCTGGAGTCAGATCACTTTTGAGGGAAGTGTTTTCTGGATACACAGTGGCTGGTGAACTTCACTTTCCTCACTATGGAGCGTTCTCTGAGACAGAATTATCCCTAAATTATTACTGTCTGTGGGTAAAACAACACAGTGAGAAGTAGAGTCATCACACCTGGTTTCTTTTTTTACACCGTGGTTGTGTTTATTTCTGAACTATAGGATTTTGCTTATGCCGTAGCTCTTTAAATGTGGTAATAAAATATTTCTGAAATAGAAAAGTGGCAAATTTTTGCGTGTGCTGTGCTTATCTTAGGTGCCTCTAAATAACGAGGTGTGGCAAAACCGTGAGGCAGTGCCGAGAAAGAAGGAAGAGAAATCTTTCTTGCCCATGCAGAAGGAAACCGGCTTTCAGGCACCAGCAGAGCAGAACCACGTGGAAACCAGAGAGCCCGAGGAGCGTCAGGTGGAAGAGGAGCACAGGAAAGCACTGGAAGAGGAGGAGATGGAGCAGGTCGGGCAGGCAGAGCGTCTAGAGGAGGAACATGACCCCTCGCCGGAGGAGCAGGATCGGGAGTGGCGAGATCAGCGCGGACAGGATGCCGCCCACCTTCTGGATGGCCGCCCTCAAGCTGAGGTGCATGCGTGCTCCCTAGAAGTTCTCCCTGATGGGGAATTTGGTGCTAGATAGTAATGAAAACATAAGGGGACTGCGGAGATGCTCGGTGAGGTGCAAGCATGAGGAGGACCTCAGTTCTATCCCCAGAGTTCGTAGAAAAAGCTGGATGTAGTGGCGTGGAGGCAGGCAGACAGCCAGGGATTGTTCTTCTCTTTCTCCAGACTCAGACCCAACAATAATACGCATGGGTGCTGATCATTTCCTTGGAACTCGGAGACTTTATTTGTCCTCCTGTTCTCTGAGCCTTGAAACTGTGCAAAGCTTCAGCCTTAGTAGGTGTGAAGACCTCTCCTGCCGCCCCTCACATCCTCACCAACTTTGTATCCCACTGCCATCCTCCCCTTAGCCTCGTGGTCCTCAGCTCTGCCCTCTTCCTTTGGCTGATAATCGAGCATGCGTATTTCAGTTGTGAAGGGAAGGGAAGGAAGACGTGTAATCATTGGGGAGCGGAATGTTAAGAACCGCTGTTTGATTTTCCTCTAATCAGTATGTATTTATTGTCTCTGCGTCCATAAATAGTTTATTTAAAGAAAATCTCTGGGGCTGGTGTGACAGCTCAATCAGTAAACAGCCCACCTTGCAACATGAGGTCCCGAGTTCAATGTCTAAGAACCCAAATACAAAACAAGATGTAATTCAGTCACAATTCTGGGGCGACAGAGACAGGCAGATCCCTGGGGCTTACAGGCCCTGCCTTAACTTAGAAAGTCCCAGGCCAATAGGAGACCCTGTTTTAAACAAACCAAAATAATCATCCACAAGGTGACATCCAAGGAATGACAACTGAGGTCTCCCCTGCTCTCTACCTATACTCTCACCTCTCTCTCTCTCTCTCTTTCTCTCTCTCTCTCTCTTTCCCTCTCCACCCTCTGCTTCCATAGTATAAAGTATATAGTATAATAGTATATAAGCTGATATTTGACAATATGTTTATCCTGAGACTTGCATGTCAATCGTTGGAGTTAATTAGCATCCTTGGGTCTTTAACTATTCCTAGACAAAGCCTTAACCTCACAAATTGTGCAATTAGTATGGGGTTCCCAAGTGCCAACTTGATTCAGAACCCATGAGCATAAATTTAATTAACGGTGGAACTTGTTTCTTATGTTGGGCTCTGTTCCATTTGTGCTGGAACACACTGAAAGACAGCCTTCTAGCTGGCAGGCCTGCTATGAGACGGCCAAGGCCATTCAGAGAAAGAAGAAAATCACGAGACTTCAGACTCTATGTGTAATTGGCGTTCACCGGCTTTAAGAAGCCTGCCCTGCCTTCTGGGTCTGTCCTGACAAGGAGTGAAGAGAGTGGCCCAGAGGATCTAACCTCTCTGATTCAGCATCAGCTCTTTCTGTTCCAGGCGGACCATCCCACCAAGGCGGTGACAAATTTCCGATCCCCCTATGAAGAGCAGCTGGAACAGCAGAGACTGGCAGCAAGGAGGGATGAGGAAGCCCAGAGACTGAGAGAACACCAGGAAGCTTTGCACCAACAGAGGCTGCGGGACCACTTGCTACGCCAACAGCAGCAGGAGCAGCTCCTGGCCAGGGAGGGGGCTCCGCAAAAGCAGGCAGAGCATGAGGAAGACCGGCAGCCGCAGCACCCGGAGCAGCTACGGTATCCTGCCCCTTCCCTTGGGGGTGTAGACGATCCTTCCTCTGGTGACAGATCAGCTTTGTGTATATGTAGCCCTTGAACACGTGGTAAGAGGGCAGGCTCATATGGCTCGTGTAGACACGGTAGAAAAACATATTGGTCAATTAAGTGCTAGATCCTTAATTTTAGCATAGCTTTTCCCCCCCAAAGGTGGTAGTTATGGACTGAGAAGGTGACTTGGTGATAAAGGGCTTGCCCCAGAAACTTTACGACCTAAATTCACATCCCTAGAATCTGTGTAAATCTAAGTTCAGTGGCCCAAAGCCTGTAATCCCAGGGCTAGTACAACAGGATGGGAAACAGAGACAAGAGAATCTCTGGAAACTTGCAGCCAGATCGCCTGGAGTGTGTGGGGGCAAACAGCAAAAAGGGGGCCTTGTTTCAAACAAGGTTGATGTCAAGGATAATGGACAAGGTTTTCTTCAGATCGCTTGGCATGTGCTGTAGCATGTTGGTGCTTGTCTCGCAAAACTTACATGCACACACATCACACACACGAAATAATAAACAAACAAGTGGAATAGATCTCAAAATAGACTAGCAGATTAGTTCTAACTTTATTGTGTCGTGGAATGACATTTTACCTCCTAAAGTATACTTTGAAAACATATCTGGTGTCACTATTATATTTTATTGTGTATCTAAATCTCAGAACCAAGTTATGGCTTATGTTTAAAGTTGAAAACTCCTTACTTATCCCTGTCTTGAAAGATAAATGACCTTTCCCAAGCCGTGCCTGTTAATTTTCATTTCTGAATTTATGTCCCTGGCAGGCAGCAAGTTCAATACAATGCCGTGGAGAATGACATCGGGCAGGGGGCAGAGGACCAGGGAATCCACGAAGAAGAGGGAGGAGGTGAGACGCATTTGAGGGTGACCTCTCAGATAACTCGGTCCTGTCCCACCGTATCGACAAACACATGGTGCAGCATCCACATGCAGAGTGCGCACCTGAGTGATGCACAGGGCAGCTGTGACTCAGGCTTATGCTGTTGTCACATGTGCCCCAAGGGCTGGCACAAAGATTTACCGCTCTGAAAACTTGTGGAGACTGGCTTTTTTCCCCGTGCCTGCTCCCTTCTGTTGAATCTCATTGTGTGCTTAGTAGCTGTTTCTGACAAACAATCGTAGGATTGCTATCCTTTAGGACATTTCTGTACTTTCTACTTAGCTGGGAAATTTTACACCCTCGCTTAAATTTATGACAAACATCTAGCATGATATTTGTCACATGCTGCTTCCCTTGGAGACAGAGCCCAAGTTAACTCTGCTTGGCCCCTCTGACTCCTACAGATGTTTGATTTTTCCAGAAAGTGTCAGAAGAAAAGCAAAGGCATGCATTGAATCAGCAACCTATTGTGGTGCTTTGTGACCCTCAGAGTCAAGAAATTGTTGCCTTTATGTCCCCCGTGGGTCACTTTAGCTTCTTTCATTTGTTATTCATAAGGCTAAGAGCTGCTGGCTCCCTCTCCTTTAATAAGGCCTCCTGTGCACTCGCAGCCTCCCAGCAGGCTCCCCTGCTTCTTTATTATGTGCAGACTCAATAACTCTCTATATACTTAACCCTCCCTCTTCTGTCTAACTTTTAAATTATTTACAGTTTTTGTGTGCACTTATAAGTCTGTGAATCCGAGTACATTTCCCCCCTCCCTCCATGGATATCAACTAAACTCTTACGTTACTATAAACACAAGATGTGTTTCCTGGCAGCGACCTGTGTGCTTCTCAGTTCACAGTTGTTGTTGTTCACTTTTAAATGTCCTAATCTTGGGAAACTCTTTCTAACATCAACCAAAAATTTAATCGTGTAGACATTCTTTTAATATGAAAGTTTTGGCCGTTGCTTTCATATCTGGTGGGGAGACAGCAGTCTCTGCTATCAACATCCCTTAAGAAGGATAGAATGGTGCATTCATCCCTCCATTTGACATGCAGCCTGGAGAAAGGTTAGCATTGCTTAGAAAACAAAAAAAGAAAGCCAAAAATCCAGACAAGCCACCACCCAAAATGAAGGTGAGATAGGGTGGAGTGATCGCCAGGGAAGCTGCTGTAGGCTGCTCTTAGAGGGGAAAATCCTGCATGATCCGTTTAGGGCTGACTATGGTTCCTTTGCTTTGCTAGCCTATGAAAGAGATAACCATCGCCAAGATGAAGCGGAAGGAGATCCAGGCAACAGGCAGGAACCTCATGAACCAGGGCCCCAAGAAGCTGACCCAGAAGCTGAGGCAGATGTAAGTTTCCTCTGCTAGTCCCCAGGGTTAGTAACTCACCAGGCAGGCCAGAGGAAAATGTGGCTTCTGGCTCCAGATGTGCTTTCTCATCCGACAGAAGAGGACATCTTACATAACTGTGTCGGAACAAAACACAAGTGTTTAACTGCAAATCATGTTGTGGGGATCCCTCCCAGAATCACAGCTAGCAGAGGCATGAGCAGCCAAGGGATTAGAATAAAACTCAGGAACAGCTGGATTTGCTCAGTTTCTGCATCAAAACATTCTGAGAGTTATGATCCTGTGTTGATTTTCTCACACTTTTCAACACAGTAGAACTTTGGGGCCAACATCTCCATGTGACAATTCTTATAAAAAAGCTTCAGGGATGGCTGAAATTCTCTTTCAAAATACACCACTATAGCAAATTTCCCAAGACCTTTATCATAAGAATGAGCTCTGTTAACTGGCAAACAGTTCTCCCAAGGCTTGGACCTAGAGAGGAAGAAGCAGAAGGATGAATTCTATTGATTCAGGATGCTAAGTACATGTGGCTTCCTAAGGGCATGTTCTATTCACCTAGAGACTAAACCCAGGGTTAGGGTCTAAACAAGTCTTGGATTTGGGAGAAATTCAGATGAAGGCTGGCCCCTAAAAGAATACCAAGGGATCGATCGCCAGGTGGTTTGACTACTTCTGCTCCAGCCTTCCAAGTGACCAGGTATCTTTCAGGCTGGGTGCTTAGCAATTCTGGTTTCTTCAAGCTCTGCTTCCTCCTGTGGGAGTGTGAGGACTTGGGCTGGAGGATGCTCTAGGGATTTAAAAGAAATTGACTTTGTCATCTTATAGGGTGATTAAACTGAAACCTAGAAGAGCAAACTTGAAAGGCATTGAAAAACACAGTGCTCTCAAAGACTGCACGGAGGGGCAAGGCAGTGTAGACATTAGAGAAAGGACTTCATGTTTGTTTAGTGTGTTGTGTGGTCTGTTGGCATGTGTCATGTGACTTGGTTCCTACCCAGCTGTCTAGTTACCTTCTTAGTAACAATGAGTAAGGATATACAGCTTCAAATTTGAAAAGAAGTGATTAGGTGCCAAGATAGGGTACTCAGTTCAGAATGTAATTATGTGGATGCCTGGTTAGCCTTTGTATTGACTGAGAACAAGACCCTCACCCTTCACCTTGGGCAGTCTAGGTCCTTAACCCTAATCAGGAACAATGGAAGCAATTGTGGAATGAATCCAGCTTTGTGTTTTGTGTAGCTGATGCTTGCAGTCTATGTTACCTATTTATTACATATAGACTTTAATAAATCAATACTCACATTGGGGTGACATTCAATCCCTGATGTTTTATGAGTTCTGTCTAAATTGATCCACGGAACTGGAAGGAAGAGCCAGGTCCTTCACCATTATCATTGTCAGGTCATTCTGGTCATTGCTTGGAGCCCTCTGATGCAGATGGCATTTCTATTTACCTGGCACTAAGATGGGACAGAATACCTTCTCTTCCCTGTTCTGCGATAGCATTTAGGAAAATATGCAGCTGGAAACCTAGCTCTGAACTTCTTCTAGTAATTGAAGCAGGAACACATGAGGGAATGAGAAAATATCCCTTGATAGCAAGAAAGCCAGAGGACAAAAACCTGCAAGTGTGTAAGAGGAGATGAAGACCACCAGTGGGGAAGGGTTCAGTATGACAGACACTTATGTTTAGGATCTGCTGTGGGACTCCTGGCTGGTGGCATCTGATCCTTGACTCTCCTGACATCTTTTTGTTTGTTGCAGCCAGTGCACTAGAAAAGATAGGCCTTTTATCGTCTTCTTCTAACTAGACATTGCCAGTCACCTCATTATTGTATTTGATGTGACACTACCCCCCTCCATCCACCTCTGTAACCCTCTCAACTATTGTTTGGTTGGAGTTGGGAATAGAATTGGTGTTTCTATTATGAACTTTTTTTTTTTAATAAAGAAGTTACTTAGTGTTGTTTTTCTGTGGGGAGTAGGTTACAGTTCCTTCTTTATCCCCCACACATATGGCCAATAATTCATTCAAGAAAGCCTACAAGGCAAGAGATTACCAAGTAATTGGAATTAGGTGTGATGGTGATGACTTCTCATTTATATTGAGAGCTGTGTCATTTGCACTTGAAGCTTCCAGCCAGGGCTGTGCAGTAATAAACCACTGGACCCTGCAGGGAGCTCTTGACCATGCTTAAGTAGCTCGGGGAATTGTAGAAAGAGCCCCTGGTCTGCACAGCACTGAGAGGCTGAGCCCCGTCTGTGGCTTCAGCATCTCATGGAGAGCAGTTCCCACTTCAGTCAGCATCCCCTGGCTTACCAAAGGATTGGGGATGCCCACCTCAGGATGATTGTGAAGATGGGTGTTATTTAACAGGTGTGCTAGGGGCTTAAATGGATAACCGCAGTAATTGCGATGTCAGTTCATTTGAAAGGCATTTGTGGGACACAATTACTCAGAGCTGCCTTGGAAATACCTTTGATGGTGCGTTGTCTGATTTCTCCTATCCCTTTCTAAAGCGGTATCACTCTGCTTCGTGATAGTCCTAGTTGATAAAGAAATTTGGCATGCCTCAAATAGATCATTTATTGTGGCGTTCTTTGTCTGCCCTGTCTCTTTGTTAGGTTTTCCTCTTGGTTCTGTCAGTATGGACTTTCCCATCAGCCACTTTTTAGCTTTTTTACATGTTAAAATTTTCTGGCAGGGGGCTGTGGAGAAACCTCAGTTAGTAAAGTCCTGGCTGCTTCATCTCCAGCACCCACATAAAAAGACAAGTGTGATGGTGCATCTTATAATGCCAGCTTGGGGGAGCAGGAACCTGAATACCCAGGCTCCATAACCAGCCAGTCTAGCTTAATGGATGGGCCCCATGTTTCACTATAAGATAATCTATCTAAAAGTAGAATGTGAACTGCTCCTGAGGAGTGACCCCTGTAATTAACCTCTGGTCTCCACGTTCATGTGCACTCCTGGGCAGGTACATATAGGTGCACGTGCATACACTTGTACACAGGGAACCACCGCATATACCTCACACCCACAAATTTCTTGCACAGGGAAGTTTGGATGAAACTCAACGTAGCAGTAAAAGGAGTTATTATTTGCCCTCCTAACTCTCTCCTGCCTCGATTATTACTGATCTCTTTTTCCTCCAGTTAGCCCTCTGACTTGCATGGGCACTGGTGGCTATGCAGTGAAGCTTTTATTACTTACTGCTAGAGCGTTGAGGAGTCACTCACACAAATGAAGTACTATTTGCACCTCCTCTATGGATCTGATTCTTCCTACTGACAAAGCAAGAGGAGTTCTGTCTTGGACATTGAGATATTTATTACTTTGCAAGTCTTGGGAAAAGTTTGACATGAACAGTCCTGTGAAGTTGTTGCCAGGCATGTTTTGGGATGAATTTTGCCGCGGCCCAGTCACGACAGGTGCATACGTCCCAGGGAAGAGGCATGTAGATTAGAAATGTTAGGTAGGAGGAACTGCAATATAAAAGAAACACAGAGACACAGGATAGTACTGGGAGGGCAACTCAGTGTATACTGTATACTGAATTTCCCCGTGTTTAATTTCCATACGCTTTTATACCCCAATACAAAAAGGGGCGAAGAAGACAAAAGACTGCTTTAACATGTCACCAAGGACAACCAGAACAGTTGCTTGCTTCAATACTTGAGACATCAAGTCATTATTTCCTGAGTAAAGCATTTAGTGTTTTGGGTAGGATATGCAGTGAATACACCCTGGACCAAGTATCCTGTAGGCAGCCACTCCCTATGTCAAACTTCCTATTTTAAAAATGAAGGAACAGGAATAGGCTTGAATTCTCTGACCTTTGCGCAGGGTGGTGCAGATCCACCTCTATGGGCCATCTTAATGTCCAAAACACCAAGTAACCACACCCTACGTCAGGATTTGTGGCCAACCTGTTGTCAAGAACTTTGGAAAAGCTTCAAGCTCAAACTCTCTGACCTCCAGACAAGGTGGAACAGACTCACATCTGTGGGTCCCCACATGAAGTACAGTCTCCTTTCCTGACTCTGTCTTGACGTTTCCATTGAAATCTGTTTATTTTATGAACGTTTTCCAGACGGCAGCTGTGGAGGATATCAACCCAGCAGACGACCCCAACAATCAAGGGGAAGATGAATTTGAGGAAGCTGAGCAAGTGAGAGAAGAAAACCTGCCAGAGGAAAGTGAAGAGCAAAGACCAAGGGAGCCCAAGCGAGAGAACGCAGACATGGAAGAGCACTTGGTGGTAAGATGACGCCTGTTGTGAAGAGTGGGTTCGGCCTGAGCATCTTAGTGAATGCCTCCTTTGCTGCAAAAGCATATAGTTCTGTGGGTTGAGAGACAGTTTGCCACATCAGCACAAAGTCCGGCTTTGGACCCTGTGTAAGATGATATGCCTGTACCCCAAGAGTGAGGGAAGGGATGACACATACTCCTTTTGAGAAGTGAACATTGAGCATTGTCTGGTTACGGATGCATTTACGTGTTCACTTTTCATCACAATGTGCCCATTTATTGACCCAGAATCTTGTGAGATGCTTCTCCAAGGTACGGTATCATGAGCATCTCCTTTTGTTTCAACAGATGGCAGGGAATCCAGACCAGCAGGAGGATAATGTTGATGAGCAGTACCAGGAAGAAGGAGAGGAAGAGGTATATGATTGGATGTATGGGACTGGGCACACTGGGAATACTACCTTCAGACAAACCTCGGCTCTGTTGACTTTGACATTCAGACTTAAATCAGAGAGATTTTTAAATGATCTAAAATTTGGAATCAAGAAGACCTCTGGCAGACATAGATCCATGTGGTGTTTTTGAGTATCCATCCATGCATTTTCCCACATCAGAGAAGAACAAGGCTCTCTACATCCAGGGAGTATGCACTAACACATGCAACTTTCTTTCTGGAATCTTCTCTACGCCTTCTCAGGGAGATCCCACAGAGTGAACTGGGACCCATCGAATCCACTCCAAGTAGTTCTAGAAATTCGCCAGTCTTTCCTGCTGACCTCTTCCTTCATATGAGTGCAGAATCTTAATTAAGCTTGATAATGAGGGCGGGGTCACCTGGCGAGTCAGAGGCCATGAGCTCAGTCTGCAGCACCCTCCACCAAAAGAAAAAGGGAAAGAAAAAGAAAGGAGGAGGTAAAATACAAAAGGAACTGGGCTTCACTTGAATTAAAATGCATTTAGATGGAGTTTCTTAATATTAAATTTTAATTTGCTTTCCATCATAGATTTCTGGCATATTACCACTAATGAATCTTATATAAAACCTATCCCAGTATCTTATTCCTCTGATGCATCAGTGAGGGTGGTGAGTGATTTTTCTGTCGCAGCTGTCTTTTTAGTGAACTCTATGTGGCAGTGTCTTAGAGTTTTACCTCTACGAAGAGACACCATGACCACAACAATTCTTTTTTTATTGATTTTATTGAGCTTTACAGTTTTCTGTGCTCCCCTCCCTGCCTCTCCCCTCCCCTTCAACCCTCCCCCATGGTCCCCATGCTCCCAGTTTTCTCAGGAGATCTTGTCTTTTTTCTACTTCCCATGTAGATTAGATCCATGTACGTTTCTCTTAGGGTCCTCCTTGTTGTCTAGGTTCTCTGGGATTGTGAATTGTAGGTTGGTTTTCTTTCCTTTATGTTGAAAAACCATATGATAAGGTGAGTGAGTACATATGATAATTGTCTTTCTGGATCTAGCTTACTTCACTCAATATGATGTTTTCTAGCTCCATCCATTTGCCTACAGATTTCAAGATGTCATTATTTGTTTTTCTGCTGTGTAGTACTCTACTGTGTAAATGTACCACATTTTCCTTATCCGTTCTTTGGTCAATTCCTCTTTAAGGGCCTCAAAATTTCTCCTAAAATTAATTTTTAGATCACTTTATCCTGCTTCATCTATATTTGGTTGTTCAAGTCTTGCTGTTGTGGGGTCTTTAGGTTTTACTGGTGTTGTGTTGCTCTTTGTGGTGTTGCGTGTATTCTTACCTTGTCTACCTATCTTTTCCTCTGATTGGTGTAGTCGGGGCTGTCTCTGACTCTGGTGATCAATCTTCCAGGTGCCAGGTGGATCCAAGGCTCAGATGGTTGCTCCCTGTGTTGCAGTCAGTTTTATGGTTCCAGTCATCCCAGGGTTTGCTCTGCTCCTGTGAAGTTCACTGTCTCAGACCTGCTGCAGCCTAGGTTGCTGGCTTAGTCCCGTTTCTGTAAATGTCCCTGGTCTGGATCCACTCCTGTGGAGGTCCCTGACTTGGGCTGAGTCCCACAAAGGTCTCTGGCTCTGATCTATTCCCTTGGAGGTCCCAGACTCCAGTGCACCTGGACCCGCAGATGTCCTGGCTCAGGCATACTCTCTCAAAGGTCCCAGACTCATGCCCAGACCTGCAGAGGTCCTGGCTCAAGTCTACTCCCTTAGAGGTACCAGTCTCACTGCTGGACCCACAGAGGTCTCTTTCTCCAGCCCACTCCCTCAGCAGTCGCTCCCCTGTACCTGCTCCTGTGGAGTTCACTGTCTCAGGCCTGCTCTGGCCTAGGTTGCAGACTCAGTCCTATCTCCATAAATGTCCCTGGCCTGGATCTGCTCCTGCTCCTGTGGAGTTTGCTGTCTCAGGTGTGCTCCGTCCTGTTTCCATAAATGCCCCAGGTCTGGATCTGCTCCTGGTCCTATGGAGTTCCCACAGCAATTCTTATAAAGGAAAATATATAATTTAGGCTGACTTACATTTCAGAGGTGTAGTTTGTTATTGTCACAATGGGAAGCATGACAGCACGCAGGCCGACATAGACGTTACTAAAGAGGCAGCTAGTTCAACATCCTGATGGGCCGGTAGTAGGAAGAGAGTGAGCCACTGGGCCTGGCTTGAGCTTCTGAAACCGCAAAGCCTACCAACAATGGCACACTTCCTCCAATAAGGACACACTCACTCCACAAGGACACATGTCTAAATCCTTTCCAATAATACTACTCCCTGTGAACTTATGGGGGCCATTTTCATTCAAACTACCATGATGTGTATGGTTTGCATCAGGTCACGAAACCACATTTACTCCCTCCATAGACAAGTCAGTACTTCCCAAGTTAAAGCACTGGTTAAGAGCCACCTCATCATTGGGTCTTGGGAACAGAAGGCTTTGTCCCTGGGGAGAAAACACAGGTGAGATGGCAAACATTTGATGGTCTAGAGACAGGCCTCCCAGGAAGAGAGCAAGCTCAGAGGGTTTGTGCTCTGCAGTTGGGCACATGCACCCTCAGCTGCCTTCATGAATCACTGCCTTGTTCTTTCTGCCTCTGTCAGCTTTTTAGAGCCAATGCTAAAATTTGTGCTTATCCCAAGGAAAGAGAAAATGATGCTGCCCTTTATGACCACGGCCATGCTGTCTGTAACAGGCTTGATCTCTGCATCCCTCCTGCATTTCCCCTGCTGCTGTTTATCTTCATGAAGACCCAGAGATTGGCTTTTCGAAAAGAGCATTGGAGAAAGTAGCAGCCTTGAATATTAAGACATTTGCGGGAGAAAGCTATTCATCAGGGCTGCTTTTGTAACAGGATGTCTGGACCAGTAGTCCTTTGTTTCCTTAAGGAGGATAAGGGGGAGCTCTGAGGGATTAAGAGAGAAAGGGTTCACCTTGGCTTCCTTTTAAAAATTCAGCAGGGTAAACATAAAAGTTTAATCAGTATTTGCTGATTTCTTCGCAGCTCTGTAGTGTGATCCCTTAAGGTGAAGGAGAGAAACCCTGAGCTGTGAGCGGTATCTAGAATGGGAAGGAAAGAAAGCCAGGACGGAAAAAAAAGGAAGACAGGAAAGAGTAGGCATGAAGGCAGAGAGGCTTGTGCTCTTCCACTGCAGCCAGCACCCAGAAGCGGTCCTTCCCGTCCCTGCTTCCGTTGTTCCTCTCCTTGGCTCAGTCTGACTGCTAACACTGTTGGTGAAGCCCCAGGCACACACGCATGCACTCAGGCATGCAGGTATGCAGGCATGCATGTGCCTGTCATTTGGGACTACTGTCTACAACTCTCTGAACGCTTTTCTTTCCAGTCTTAGCTGCCTTCCTGTCTACTGAGCATCCCTTGCACAAACTATATTGAATTATTCAGTCCTTTGCATTATTCCGAGGCCTTCCTTAGAGGCCTGAAGAGCAGCTAGTAAGGATGAGGTGCTGAGCAACCCACAGCAAGATGAACAGTGAACTAGAAGCATGGACGCATTGCATTGTTTTAGTGTGGGAGGGGGAAATGGGTCCCGTTCATGACACACTTTCAAAGTAGGGAGCTCTGTAAGATCCTGCTAAGAAGGGAGGTAGGGAAGCCTTTTGAATGGGCACAGGTTTTTTAAACCATGCAGGTCAGCCATTGTAGCTAACGCTTTTGAAGGTCTTTGACTGTCTCACAGCCACTACCTCTGAAACTTCTCATGCTCAGCTTCTTAAGGCTAGGTTCCCTAGATACACAGTTCTCTCATATGTAGAAGGAAAGTGTCACTGCTTATACGAGCACTAAATCAGCTGCTGTTGTTTGCTTTGTTTTGTTTAACCACTAAGCAAGGTTTGCCCCATTTGGTAGGATACTTTTCTGCAATTTCTGAAGCTACAACTTTTCAGGCTACAAATGAGAAGTAGAGTGTTGTGGTATTTTTGATAAAGCCTGTGCTAGCTGTAGCAGGATATTAAGGCAAACTGTTGTGGATGGTGTATGTAATGGTCAGAGGTGAGCTTTTGACCTGGGGCTGTCAGCTTAAGCATGTCGTAAAGCTCAGGAATACAATATCATCTCTTCTTCTTTAGTAATGCAGTTAAGATGAACTTGGGTTACTTTTGTTTCCAATATGATTGATGCATTAATACTATATAAGTAAGAGTCTGTTGTGTCTATGGCTAAAATATTTTTAATTAATTAATTTATTTATTTATTAAAGATTTCTGTCTCTTCCCCGCTACCACCTCCCATTCCCCCCCCTCCAATCAAGTCCCCCTCCCTCGTCAGCCCAAAGAGCAATCAGGGTTCCCTGACCTGTGGGAAGTCCAAGGACCACCCACCTCCATCCAGGTCTAGTAAGGTGAGCATCCAAACTGCCTAGGCTCCCCCAAAGCCAGTACGTGCAGTAGGATCAAAAACCCATTGCCATTGTTCTTGAGTTCTCAGTAGTCCTCATTGTCCACTATGTTCAGTGAGTCCGGTTTTATCCCAGGCTTTTTCAGACCCAGGCCAGCTCAAGAAACTAGACCGTAAAAGGCTAATCAACCCAATTATAAAATGGGGCACTGAGCTGAACAAAGAATTCTCAACAGAAGAAGTTCAAATGGCCAAAAGACACTTAAGGTCATGCTCAACTTCCTTAGCGATCAGGGAAATGCAAATCAAGACAACTCTATGGCTAAAATATTATAGAATATAATTTTTGATTAATCAAAGAGACATTTAAATCATCAGTTTACAACTATAATTATGACAATTGGGGCACAAACTAAAATTTCTACAGTAGACCCACTGAGTAGAGAAAGGGAGAAACGTTCTTAGAAAGTTTATTAATTCCCCCCATACATCCTTAACCAGCATCCACTGTACTCAGAAATAGATCATCCTGTCTCAGCTGTGACCAGGAGTCACTTTGAGAAGCCCATGAAGAATACAAACCGCTAGAACAACTCTGCCCTGTGGAATTTGGATCTTCTCTTTCAAGGGCCCTAAAAATCAGAGCCCTTCAGAAGCTCACTTTCCATGCAGTAGATACTGATATTTCGGGATCTTCTGTTTAGATAAATAGTCCTAGGGAGAGCAGCTCTAGATCAACTTCGCAAAATGTCACCAGCCAGGTGGTGTTGGCGCACGCCTTTAATCCCCGCCCAGGACGGGGGGAGGCAGAGGCAGGTGGATCTCTTTGAGTTCGCAGCCAGCCTGGTCTACAAGAGGTAGTTCCAGGCCAGGCACCACCAGAGAAGCCCTGTCTTGAAAAACAAAAGTAAATAAATAAAACAAGACCAAAAAAAAAAAAAAAAGTGTGGGCTCCTGAACTTATGTGAACGGTTACACACATTTGCTAAACATTTTCTCATTGAATGCTTAAAAAAGGACCCGCAGCTCTCAGACTGCTCCTACCCCAACACACACATAATCACCAAATGCTGTGAATTTTTATTCAACACTTTTATTGCATGTATAAGAAATCTGAGCTGGGGCTGGAGAGATGGCTCAGTGGTTAAGAGCACTGCCTGCTCTTCCAAAGGTCCTGAGTTCAATTCCCAGCAACCACATGGTGGCTCACAACCATCTGTAAAGACGTCTGGCGCCCTCACCTGGCCTTCAGGCATACAGACAGAATATTGTATACATAATAAATAAATAAATATTAAAAAAAAAGAAAAAAAAAGAAATCTGAGCTTCAGAGAGGAGAGTTATGTTTTTCAGAATCATATAATTTGTTGTTTATTGTTCAATTCTAACTACAGCTTACCCAGGGATAGTGTAAGGTTAACATTATTAAATCTACCAAGAACTCAAAGTTAATGGGAGGGAGTTCTTTGTGGGAGTAATATAGAAAGAACAATAGAACCAGAAAGTCATCATGATGTAACTCTTGAATAAAACAATCGACTTAAGACATAGTCATCAATGCATGACATCACTACCTGAACAGAGGTTAAGAGAACTTGCTGTGGAGCATGGGCTGTCAACATCTGATGTCACTGACCAAGGACGACCTTGCTGTAATTAGAACAAACATGCACAGGGTGCATGCTGTCAAGATGAAACCAGGAAGTTTTCAGCCCCGCTTCTGAAATGCCCTTGGCTTTTACATTGAAGCCAAATTTGCTCACACTTAATGCTAGCTTCACTCACAGGAAATATAAGGACCTAGAGGGATGGCTGGAGCGATGGCTGAAGGCATACCAGACTGAAGTGCACCTAGAGTTTTGTTTTTTTTTTTTTAAGAAAAAAGAATGAAAGGAATCCCGTGTTATGCGTAATCTTTGTTTAGATTGTGGTTAGGGCAAAGTGACTGCACATGGATTCTTATAACAGTTAGCATCTTACACTAGTAAGATGTAGTGGCATTTCAGTTATATTTTAATAAAGCCAACCCTTTATTGTAGGAAGACTCACAGTTGTTGTCCCTGTACTGAAAAGGCTGTTGTACAAAAGGACCACAGGTTAATGCCTGATTGGGTCACTTAATGAGTTTCCATGTCAAAAAGTTAGTCAAGAAAGTGTGATTGTGGGCTAGCCAGTATATATATATAGCACAGGGTTACCGAAGCTATCAGATGTTGTGATAACACATTGTTTGTATAGAGAGACGTGCATTGCCAGAGATGTATACCATGGAGAATGTACTTGCCATTACATGGAAACGGCAAGATGTGTAGAAATTTTAAGACTAATTCAGCAAAAGGCTGAGGCAATGTTTCGGTAAAATATTTACGATATAAGGGTGAATGTTTGAGTTAGGTTTGTAGCAATTACATTTAAAAAAAAACTAAAAATCTTGATAGCACACACTTGTAATTCTTCCATTGGGAAGACAGGAAGAGGAGGGTCCCTGGGGCTCACAGGCCAGACTAGGCAAATAGGTGAGCTTCAGGATCGATGAGAGACTGAGTTTAAAAAATAAATAGGGTGAAAGATTGAGGAAAACACCTGACATTGACTTCTGACCTCCCACTTCTGGTGCACCTGCACACACACACACACACACACACACACACACACACACACACTCATAAACATATACACACAGAGGCATATACGTAATTCATTGAAAAAGTAGTCATGTCATAGATGAAGCAAGTATGGCCATCTTGAGATTAATGGCTATAAAAGTCTTACTAAGTGATTCTCTTTATTGGCACTTTATTGAGGGTTACCATAATGAAAACTGTTTCCCCAGCATGCTGAAACAAATCTGTAATCAGAGCACTCCAGGAATTGAGGCAGGGAGATTGTGAGCTTGAGATGATGACACCCTGCCTGAAACCAAAGCAAAACAAAAAAATCAACCTCACTGTTTATATAGAAAGAAATGTTTAGAGACAAGCCCTTTGTTCAGGTTTGTCTTTCTACACAATATAAATTAAGAGGTAGAAAACTCCAATAAACACAACCTGTTTTGTAAATACAGTTTTATTGAAACAGAGAGCCAGGTTCGTCTTTGAGAATCACACTAACTTTTAAATTTCTCTTTTTGACAGTTTCATATATTAATATAATAAATTTTAACCTTTTTCCCCTCCATTACCCTTTCCCATCCTCTACCTTCATCCCACTCCCTTTCCCTCTGGGATGCTTCTTTTCAACGATTCTTCTTCCTACATTCACATCTTCCTATTTGATGTGGCCCACTGAGTTGAATTAGAATTTCTTGCCCAAGCATAAGCAGGAGGTGATTTACTGGAGCACATGCATCTTCTCAGTGCTACGCCACTGAAGAAAAAGGCACCTGTTCCTCCAGCAATCATTAACTGCCGACAGTTTCTCCAGAGGTGTATTGCACATTTCCGTATGCCTACTGGACAAGTCAAACTTTTGAATTGTATCATTTTTCAATGTTCATTTAGTTCCTTTTTTTTGTAAAGATGTGCAATTTTGAATGAATGTCCTAGAAATCGGAACATTTCGCCACACATGTTTAAAGGGGAAAGCTTCAGTCGGTATTTGTGATTGTGTTTTAGGTTCAGGAAGATCTGACTGAAGAGAAGAAAAGGGAATTAGAGCGCAATGCTGAAGAGACCTATGGTGAAAACGTATGTTTATTTCTTTGTGAGCGTGAGTGTGTATGTGTGCAGGAATGTGTGTCTTTGCCTACACTGCTGTGGCATGTCACAGTTACACATCTAAATCACACCCATCCACACAGAGACCAGCTGCACACTCTCTGTACCTCTAAGTAAATTTAGCAGGCCCTCCTAGAATTAAGAAACGTTATGATCTGGAACACTGCGAGGCTGTTGTGGTGCTGTTGATGAGGTCATTTTCTTCACGCCTTCTCTTCCTCCAAAATGAATTACGTTGCATCCTTTGTTGGAGAGTATTATCCATCACAAAATTTACATTCACTCTTAGTTTGTTGTTTTTGTTTTTGTCTTTTTCTTTTGTCTTTTAGGCTGATGATAAAAATAATGATGGCGAAGAACCAGGAGCTCCAGATAGTGCCCATCCCAAAAGAAGAGAGGAGCATTATGAAGAGGAGGAAGAGGAGGAAGAAGAGGGGGCCGCTGTCGCTGAGAAATCACATCGGAGAGCAGAAATGTAGCTGGACCCAATTTCTAGGCTACGCTCAGCCATCCATTTTTTTTTTCAAGCTGCTCTAAAACAAGTCCCGCCTACTGAATTCTAGAATATTTAATTACAAACAAAAGTAAGGGTTTAGACTTTTTTAACTTTTATATTAGAAATGCTATACATTTATATGAATATATTTTGATAACTTAGAACTTCTTTTATAGTCAAGTTAAACATGGAGAAGAAGAAAAACAATAAGACATGCCTTCAGGACTGGCTCTCACTCCTCAGAGACGGTGTGGTGTTGGAAAGTGCTTGGTCTTGGTGCATGTCTCAGCTCGTTACTTTTTTCTTTTCTGGCTTCCAGGGAGTCTACCGTTTATATTGGATAAAAGGCAGGATTGGATTTAGAAACCAGGTGTACTGAAAAACACTGTGCAAATGTCGAGGGAATGACCGGTAGCCTGGTGGCTATTCCTACAGGTTCTTAGGTACGGCTCTGATAGGATGTCACTGCTACAGGCTGTCTGGAAATGAGATCCATCTGCGCCTTTGACATGTAATTGGAAAGGTGTGTGTGTGTGTGTGTGTGTGTGTGTGTGTGTGTGTGTGTGTGTGCGCGTGTGAGTAAGAGAGAGAGAGAGAGCAAAGACATTGTGTTTTCAAACTTTCAGGTCAGTTAGCAGTGCTGAACGATCACAGCTGCCATGTTCGAGAGGAATCAAGTATGAAAATCGAATAATATTAATACCCCTAGGAAAGTATCTTGGACTTGGTCTTCAGTTATAGAGGCCAAACAAGGGCTGACACACTTAGAAACTGATCGAGTCTGTGTGAAGTTGCTTCCTGGGTGACCTCCCAGTCTCCATTATTTCTTATCTAAAGTCTCTTAGGTATATTCTCCTTGGTATCCAGTTTCTACAGCACATATTTCTCCCTTAAGCTCTGTGCCTTGGTATGTAACTATTTGGATCACAGCTATCGATATGAAAGCATGCAGTGTTACAGTTTAATAAGATTATTTTTCAGAACTATATCGTGAAATATCTATAGCACTATGATAAGAACTGCACCCTCAGTGGCTTTACTGTTTACCCAGAATTGACCGGCCTTCGCCTATATAGAGGGCATTTTAATGGCTGTGAGTAATAATACATCCCTTAGGAGAAAATTCAAAGTGGAAATTTTTCCCATAAATGAGTACATATTTCAGCTTGGATCATCAGTATGGTTAAACACGTAGAACTGGGTCACAATTCATCTGTGTGTGGTTTTTAAATGCTACTTTCAAAATCATAAAAATGAATTTCATTTTGTGCTCTTATGGTATGAATGTAATTTTAGTTTTTAATAGCCACAGTCATGTATGGTGTTGATTTTCCCAGCTGAGCAATTGTGTATGTGTGCATAGAACTGTTCTGTATTTTGGATTACTAGTAGCCATAAATCAAATTTCATCTTTATGTATAAAAGCCCCATTATGTAATGTAAAATGTATAATATTGTACATAATATTCAGAATACAATTATTTTGGTAAATTAGTTTGTATTTTAATGTCCCAGTTGCAGTATTTAATTATTTGAAACATATTGAATCTAGGGTATTAACCAATAAAGATATAAAAAGTGAGGGGTAAGTCTTTTAAAGCATATAATTTCTTAGTGGTTTGTGAGCTACAGTTTTTCTTTATAAGAAGAATATAAATTAATGAATTATTAAATGCCTTTGCCAAACTGCTTCACTTCCTTTCTTTTTCTGCTTTGATTGGCGCTTGAGTTCTCTTCCTCCATCATCTTACTGAAAGAAGGAACTGAGGACTTTCATTGTCTTTAAGCTCAGTTTGGGGACAACAAATAAGAAATTGCTCTTAAAAAGCATGAGAAAGTATGAGTGTCATGTTCACAATCCATGTGAAAATCTCCCCACTAAATTACCAGTCACAAACAATTCTGGATTAGTTCTAACTCCATGTTAGAAGAGCATCCTAGTGAGAACTAAATCCAGATGTGATCCCCATTAGCAAAAAGAACAGATGTAAATTATCAGTTAGATTCATCTTGCCAAGTACTCTGTAACTTTTGGTTGGCCAAGAGTCAGAGGAGCGCTGGGGAAATGATTCACTCGGTTCAGTACTTGATGTCTAAGCGTGAGGGCTTGTTATAGCCCTAGCACCTACACAAAGAAGCCCAATGCACTATCATCTGAGCATTTGAAAGATGTAAACAAGAGGATCTCTGAGGCTTGCAGGCTAGCCAGGGCATATGAAGATACCAATGTGGATTTCTGCTTCCACATACACAGAAGTCAAAGTATTCCGTGCCCGGGAATTTATTAGAAGGAAAAGAAAGCACTCAGTGAGGCATGCGTGCCTAGTATAGAGCAAAAGAGCACAGATGCAATGAATTGTTATTAGCAAGTGATCAGAGAAGATCTATTGATACAGAGTATCACCTGAGCCGCAGGTACCAGTAACGGACTCTTACCAAGGAAAAGGACTGGAGTGTATTGAATGCCTTCACAGTGTGTGAAGTAGGGGACCTGGGCTCTCTTCAATTCCCAGTGCTCCCTTGTCACTGAGGGCATTTCCTTTTAGGTTGATGAAGTGGCCATTGGAACATTTGACACGTTTGCCTCCTCTGGATTTGTCATTTTGTGTGTGTGTAGCTCTTGAGACACCTCATGATCCATTCATAATAAAGCAGGACTAGAGTATGCCGCCTTCATTCAGATATCTTCCTGCAGCTGTTCTGTGTCTTCCGTGGTTCCTTTGTGTGTACTTCCTGACTGCTTTCTCAATTCGGCTAAGACTGCTTCTTACATCTTCCCCTAAGCACTGGCACCAGGTGTCCTGTCTCTGGTTGACCCTTCTCCCATGTCTCATTTATTTTCTTAGCCCAATTTTCTACATCCCATTCTCTCCCCAAAGCCATAATTTTCAAAACTGCATTTGCTTTTACCTTATAAAACCTACTTCTCTTTCTAAAATGTGTCTTCTTTCACTAAGTTTTATCAAATAGAAGCATGAAGTCCATTTTTAATGCTGTCTTCCCACTCCACAGGCTACCTCTGTCTGCCCACTGTCCTGGTCCAGGCTCACTTATCAATATTTCCCTGAAGAGTTTCCTTGCTCCTTTCTTCACTTCCTTGTTCCTAATCCCTAAAGCCTGAATCAGTAGGACTGTAAAGATAACCTTACCACTCCACTCATGCGCAATCATTTAAGAAATTTCCATTGCATGTGAGGAAACACCCCGAACCTGTAAACACAGTCCATACAATTCTTCGTGATGTAGCCCCGCCTTAATTCTTGAGCCTAGTAAGTTACTTTTTAATATGAACTACGATAAGTATGATTTGTGTATGTCAAGCACATCCTTCTCTGATTTCCTTGATAACTAACGTTGGCCCTGGCCTCTGGATGAAAACTGACCAGCAGAGCTGATGGTATACTTTATCTATTTAGAAATGGCACATGATCCAGGCAGGACAGGTAATTGACTCAACACATACCAATTTCATTTCCTCTCTGAGGCATTGTTATCGGAAGGCAATTTGAATATGGTGTCCCCCAGCACTTTGTAACAGTGTTTATCATGCCCTGGCTTTTCAAGGATATTATCAGAAAAAGCAGCCTTGGGGCTGGAGAGATAGCTCAGAGGTTAAGAGCATTGCCTGCTCTTCCAAAGGTCCTGAGTTCAATTCCCAGCAACCACATGGTGACTCGCAACCATCTATAATGAGGTCCGGTGCCCTCTTCTGGCCTGCAGACATAGACACAGACAGAATATTGTATACATAATAAATAAAAAAATAATCTTAAAAGATTATTAAAAAAAAAGCAGCCTTCAAAGTTAGAGATATATAGCCCTTGGCCATAGGATGAGTGTGCCTTCTGGTTTGCCTTCAGGCCAAGATTTGGACAAGTTTGCTAGAAGAACCTTAATAAAATGAGGGATTCCTACGATAGGGAATCAGACGTCATACATCAGGAGCTTACAAGGATGGAATATGACCTCATCCATGACGCTTGGAAAGGAAGGGACTGGCGTAAAGATGAAAGAGGGAGCCCCTGCTGCCTTTGATCCAGGTGTGCAGAGTTCTCTCCCTTCCTGGATGATTTCTTTTGAGTCTCCCCTAGGCTAGCAGCTCCTTCAGGAACTGCCTTTTAAGTTGGAATATACTTAATGACCAGTTGTGTCTCACAGAGACTTGAGGAGTCACTGCCACACAGTGAGAACCGTAGATACAATACAAGGGAGTTTCAGGATGGCTGTATTCTCATAAGACTTTATGTAAACACAGCTGGGTACCTCTTCAACTACAGAATGCTGATTTACGTGGCCCAAATACTTAATGGTTAAAAACAGTACTTCAACAGAAAACAGGATTTTGAAGCCTTCAGGAATTATGGGTATCTATTCCTTTGTTATTATCCCTTTCATTTTTTAGTTGGCAAGCACTCAGCAGTATCTGGGCTGCTACATCTGTACACCATTTTAAATAATTGGAAATGAAATATTTTTGTCCTTTACAATCTTGGCTGACCTTGTTCTCCCCATTGCCTGCATGTTCCTAATGGAGCTTGAAATTAAATGTCATTTCTGTTTATCTGTTATCACATATTTCTGTTTTCGTATTAACACATCTACAGCATTGCCCTGAAAGCACATGTCTTCTGGAGAACTGGTTCATTGGACAACATGGTCTTGAGCAAGACCAGACGATGTCTTTTGATCTCGTGTGTTCTTTCTTCTCTGAAGATACGTGTACCAATTATATTTGGTGGCCCACTCGCTCGTTACGGTTTTGAGAGTTTGTGGTTTTTGTGGGTATTTGACTTTTGTTAAGTTCATTTGCTCTACTAGAATTAGTCATGAAAATCGTTATTATTTACGTCTTTTAATTTTAACACGCAGTCTTGCTAAGTTGCCCAGATTGGATCTGAAGTTTCAATTCTCCTCGCTTTACTCCTCTATTAGTTATAATTCATGGTCCGCAATCCCTGGGTCTGGCTTAGATGTGGATATGTGAGAGCATGTGCATGTTCATGTGTACGCCCGTGTCGCTAGAGGGGTGTAGAAGCATGTGTACACATGCTATGGAGTTCAGGGGACAACCTCAGATGTCGTTTTGTCTGAGTTCTCCACCTCCATGTTTAAAAGAGGGTTTTTGATTTTCTTTCATTTGCCTGGAACTTGCCAAGAGGCTAGGCTGGCTGAACATTGAGTCCCAGAGACTTGCCTGTTTGTCTCCTTAACACTAGGATAACAGGTGAGGACCACTGTTCCTGCCACTTTTAGAACATGTGTCTAATCAAACTCAGGTGCTCATAGCTGAGCAGCATGCATATAACCAAGTGAGCTATATCTCTCTAGCCATACCTTAATTTCAATAAATGCAGTCAAAATATCTTTTATATCCCTCAACTCTAGCCAATTACTTTCTGTGATGGTTTCAAAGTTTGTTGAGGGAATCTTCTGGAGTCTAGCTTTGCTTCTCTTGAGTGTGCAAAGAATTTACTTATTGACTTAAGGAAAATAAAATTTAAGAGGAGTAACCATGTGGGACTCAGAGGTCAGATTCTAAAAGATAACATATCCTCCTCGCTCTGGCTTTTGAATCGCTCACTATGAAATGCCAGCAACCAAATCTCGAGGACTACACAGACAGCCTTTGGGGAAGCCCTTCCTCCACACTGATTGGAGCTGATGTTTCCTGACAATGGCAACATAAGAGAACTCGGAGGGAGTGAATCCTCAAAATCCTGTCAAGCCTTCAGATGATGCATCTGCATTGTGTGACACAGGAAACGTGTGCAGAGCAACCCAGAAATGTCATTTGAGACTCCCCTAGAGTTTGAAAAACACAGCAATAGCTATGGCATCCATTTCTGAGTGCTTTGTAAGTCAAAGGGGAGTGGGTAGTGTCAACTCTGGCATACAGCCACATTGCCAGTGCCCCTGGCCGTCTAACCAGGTGCTCCATTCTGTTAGCGTGGAAGGTGGAGTTCAACCAATGAGCCAAACAAGTTGAAGCCAGTTTATTTGTTGAAAATTGTTAAATGATTTAAGAGATATCTATAGCCTCTCGACCTTGTCTATACCCTTGGTAACTTTTTGTTTGTTTTTACTGTGTTGTTTCGTTTAAGAGATTCCAAGTCTTTTCTCAATAAAATGAGATCAAGATCTGTGACAGAAAAGTCTAGACACCAGTATTTATTTTTTAAAAAAAAGTCATCCCAACAAATTGTCATTGCAGGGACACTATGATTCTAGATGGATAAAGCATGCAAGGCAGCTTCATGGAGGTCAGAAGTCTGACTGTAGGGGTGGTTATACAAATCTGCATATGTATTAAAATTCATAGAATTGTCCACAATAAAATTCTACTTTTACTGAATGGTAATTGAAAATGAAATAATGTAGCCTATGCATTGTTTTTGAAAGCCCCCAGATGATTAATGTTCCGCAAGGGTGAAGTACCTCTGTCTGTCCTCTTAAGGGATGATCAACCACCTCTGGTGTAAGCATTCATAACTCTGGTATAACCTGTTTACCCATTAACTAACTGCCTGTATCTAGACACACCCCCAAAACCTCCTGTATAGATGTATCGAATTGTCTATGCTACAGTATGTTACAGTGAATTACAAATCCTGTAAACTTAAGCTGTTGCTGTCTCTTGTAGATTCTCACTGGGAAATTTGAGGATACTGCATGGGGGAATTGTTTGAA